TTAGTCTGGACCCGAGGTGGGCTTAATAACCGGCGACTACTGTACTTGGATCCACCTTGGCGGTCTCATTACAAAGAACTGGTACTGGGGAGAATTCCTCCAAGTTAAACTTCCATGTCTTCCAAGCTCGTGCGCTAGCAGAACACAAAACATAAATTTCTTTCACGAATAGAGAGATCGCGTCTTCTTCTTTATAAATTCCCTTGTTTACTGCCAGTTAAGGAAACATAGTAACTTCGGAATGAAGGGACATGAATGTCTATTTTGACGGGATTTCGGACTGGACATCAAAAGGGTTAATCGTATTCTCACGGTTGTTTATGGATTCATATTGCAGTACACTACAGCTCACATACTTTACAAGGGGCGCGGGCAGAGTCTGTGTAAGGATGAACACACAAGCGGTGCTAATGAAGTGCCTAAGACTCACCTAAAAGTGGTTGTATTTGTGAACGTGAGAAACATTGGTGACAGACAACCCATAAAAACATCAGACAGAGTGCATACAATAGAAGGTAGGTGGAGACTAGAAAAGACAACAAAATCAGTGGTATAACGACACCAATAAGTAAGTACTCTTACCTGTGTCTGCTTCTAAACCAACTGTAAGGCAGAGAAACCGCTAATTCCAAAAAAGCTGACAAACTTTATGAAAAACTAACTTCAACCAGAAGTAAATGGACTTATTAAGGTGCGTTTGAGGTTGTTCTCATCTTCTTACACGAAACCGCTTATCCCTGAATGCCACCAAACCGCAGAGCTTTGTTGCAGGCATACGCTACGTTAGTGGATCTTACGCGTGAGGAATTCACCCATTCGGAATGGTCGATATCAGGAAGTGACCAAAACAGCAACTGTGGAATTATTGTTCGGACTGAACTCAGAATTCAAATTTCATATGTAGAACCACTGCCGGATACGAAGAACTAGAGGAAACACCTTACTAAAATAATTTCTTAAGGAGAATCCGGTGTAACCACAGAGATAATTATGGGAGGCTTGAAAGCCTGGAAACTACAAGCTCGATATCCAAATAAATCAGCCGTTAGAACCTAGGCTTTGTTGTCATGGCAACTATGTGAAAATACAGCATTAAAAGTGGTCAGGAGAGAAAATTTCGGTTAGATCTTACCAGTCGTGAAGATGTTAAAGAATGTCCGCCTGCCGACCTGGTTGCCTCGAGGTTCGATACCCGGACCGGAAGCAGTGGCCTTGCTGGGGTCGGCTGCGCCCTCGACCATAACCTTGAAGGGAGAATTCATAATCTCCTTGGCGGCGAACTTGATGATCACTCTGTACTCGCCCGACTGAGAGGGCACGTAGGCGCAAGAGTAGGTGTTCTGACGATCGGTGTTCGGAATCACATCGCACTAACGAGGCAAGAAGGTGGAAAGGAGTCAGATGGGAGGGGTAAGCAGAGTCGGGATGGAATATGGACGCTGGTACTGGAGGCCAATAACAAGTCTTCACATCTTGCCACCTTGTCAGCAGTGTTCAAACACCGAATCAATCATGAGAATACACGAACAACTGCCTTGTATAAACGAATACTTCCTTCGGTTTCTGGAACTACATATGTAGCCGTTGAATCGACTGCCAGTTCTGATGACTCGGCATATTGGTACAGTTGTTTACTGGACAACCTACCAGTCTGTGAATTCACGAGCACAGAAAGTTTCATTCTGGTAAAAACTTTGTCCAACTACTGTATTAGTGACAACCAGCAAAGACTTCTGTTCGTCACGCAACCTTCTAAAGTTAATGTGAGTCAAAAAGCTCATGGTTCAATCCCATTTTTAATGGAGCAGAAGGCATAATAATAAGTTTAAGCTACTGTTTTGACAGAGCGTCCAGAACAAATACTTTCTAAAAATGTGAATTGTCTTCTTCGAATGTCTAATAACCACATCGCGCGGTCTCCCTCCCCCATCATATTTTCATGAGAGGAGATCTGGGAAATGATCGAAAGTTTTGAATTCCCTTGATTTCTGACGTGCTTACCCTGGATTATAGAAAAATCCACGAGCAGGAGGCATGCGAAATAAGCAGGCAATAATTCAGTAATGCTTTGAAAGAAAGGATTTTTCACAAATAGTTATGAAACCGAATCACGTAGCCGATTGATAAACACCAATTTGCGATCATTAATATTGCCACTCGTTACCTCAAGGGTTGCAAAACCCTGCAGTCAGGTTTGGCTGGCAGATGACGGCTGATAGGCCAGAAATGACCATTATAGTCTCCCTGGGCTCTGTTGGCAATGTTATTCTGGTTATACAAGTTGTGATGATCTATTTTTGACAGGCCTACATCGGGAAAAAGCATTTGTGTTTATAAATCTGTGCTTACCGGTTCTCGCTGACCCTTCGGATTGAGCACAATCACCTCTACGGCTCCACGACCGGCACTAAACGCATCGACGGTGAAACGTGCCGGCATGCCGACCTTGTTTCCACGTGGTTCGAGACCTTGAATATAAAGAGGGGTACTTTAAGTAAAACAAATTCCACAAGATGAGGAGACGCTTATGCCCTCTGACAGTTTTTTTTACCGACAGGAAGCAAGGTGTTTTAGCTGTAGAATAATATACA